TAGATTTTTACAGTCAGGGACACTGACACCCAGAAAGAAAACCACCAAGTTGGGGCCAAGGGCAAAGTGAAGACCAAGTGAGGTCTCCTGGTACTGCAATCACTCTCATCATACTGATGCTGCAATGAGAATACACCCACCCACTGAGTTTGACATTCTTCCTTTTCCTCAAGCAAATGTTCTGGAATTGGAAAGCTAAACAAGGCTCTCCGAGTTAAACCAGAGATTCTTTATTCAGTGTAAAGTATCTTTGAGAGTAGAGATCAGTATTTTCCATCATTGGGGGCTTTCCTGACAAAGCTGGTCACCATCCAAAGGCTATGGAGAGGATTTTCACTCAGGAAGGAAGGTAACACCATTCATCATTTGTTCACCATAGTCTGGAGGTAGTTTCCTGGGTTTGAATTGCCTGCTTTGTCTCCTACTAGATGAAAAAACTAAGGCAAATAAAGTAACTCCTGTGAGTGAGTTTCCTCATCTGTAAAATGGAGGTTATGATATTTTAAATGAACGACATTTCTCTTATTGAACTTTTATGAGAATTGAAACAAAAGAATTTACATATAATGCTTACTGGTGTTTTGCACAAAGTAGGCCAATATCAAAAATGCATTAATGTTCGTGTTGCCATTATTGCTGTAGTAGCAGGAGTGGCAGCATTAAGCAAATATTCACTGAGAATCTTCTGTGTAAGTACAGGGAATACAAAAGTCCTGGCCTTCGTAAAACTTGCAATCTATTGTGGTGGAGACAAATAATGGATAAGTAAATAACTAAAGAAATAGGCACCATGGAAACAGTAAAGCAAGATATAGATGACAGCATGGGCCTCCACAGCAAGGGGTCAAGCCGTTCTCCTCTACAGGAACAAGCTAGACATGTTTGGTGACAGAAACAAAACAAACAACAACAATAACAAAATCAGCTGGTAGATAGAATAAAGACCTACAGGCAGCTATATCAACCACAGAAGGACAGGAGGAGGACTGGCCCCACCAAGATACCCAGCAATAACTACAAGACCACAGTAACCGAAAGGGCAATCACGTGGCTTCAACAAGGAAGGAAGAAGGGAAAGAAGGGAGGGGGCCAATTAAACAGACTAGAGCGTTCAGAGACAGACAGTCTACCTGAGAACTTAGTGGGGAGTGACAGTAGCTTCACAAATGATTAGGAAAAAAACAGATTGTAGAGTAGACAGTGCTAGGAAAGATGAAAGAATAAAAGTAGATCTTTTCATTCCAGCAAATACAGAAGACTGAATTACAGAAACAGGAAAGCTTAATACTATAATGTAATAGAAAAACACAGAAACTATCATTAAAACCTAAAATCAAGAAAGAGCTTAATAAATAAGACTTTAAAATGCAAATAATATGCCAAACAAGGGATTAGTTGTTACAGAATTAAGGATTTCTGTTCAACAAAGGACATGATGAACAAAGTTATTAGACAAGTAAAAGAAAAGATATTTTAAGTCTAAAAGAAACAAGAGATCAGTACCTACTGAAAGGAAATAAAATCCTCTTTTGAGGAAGGTAAGTTTAACCAGAACCAATATAATAATTCATACACAATGTTTGGGATTCAATTAAAATTATCAGAAATGCAAAGAAATGGTTGAAATGATTTTTCTTTTGTAAGAAAAATAGACAACTGCAGCAAACACAGGTGATTCAGATACTGGAGGTACTAGAAGTGGACTTTAAATGATGATGAATAATACACTCAAAAATAAGGGAAAAGAATTTCAAAAAGGATTGTAGTGTATTTTTAAATACATAAAAAATTCTAAAAGGAAAAACAAAATAACTGAAATTAATAATGTATCAGATGGTTTAACAGCATACAAGATATGATCGAAGAAACACAGAACTAGAACATATTGAGATGGGACCTGGCCCTGTGATGCACCTATAGTGCTAGCTAGCAGGGAGGCTGAAGCAGTAGGATCTCTTGAGTCCAGGAGCTGGATTCCAGCCTGGGCAACACACTGACACCCCATTTCAAAAAAAAAGAAAATCAGCCAGGCACGGTAACTCATTCCTTGAATCCCCATCTACTCAGGGGATAGAGATATGGTTTGAGGCCAGCAGGGGAAAAAACAGCTTGGCATGGTGAAATGCACTTGTCATCCTAGCTATGCGGGAGACCATCGTAGGAAGACCGCCGTCTTGGCCAGCCTGGTCAAAAACACAAGACCCTATCTTGGGGGGCAGAGTATGAGAAGCCTGAGAACTTGACATAAGCACAGCTATGTCAAATAATCTGCAGGCTGAGTCTGGCATAGCCCAAGCCGCAGAAGGGCGCAAGGGCAAAAGGCAACACAGCTGCTTTTCCTAAGATGTTTACATTCAGAGAATAGCAGTCACAGTTTTCTCCTGTTACAATGTCACAGCCCTCCCCGAGAACTGTTGCTCCACCTCCTTGTTCACCACCATATATAAACAATTCGCTGAAGAAGGTTGGTGGATTGATTAGCTGGCTGCTGACTGCTTGCAAGGTGTGGCTGCTGCAGATGCTGCTGGTAGTGGCTGCGAGTCTAAGGACCAAGACTTGAGGAGTTACACTAGAGATTAGAGGAAACATGGGATAGTGCAAGTCTGAGGACCAACACTTTAAGAGAGATTAAAAAAAACATGGGACAGTGTGAGTCTAAGGACTGAGACTTTAGAGAATAGAAAAGAAGTAAGGTTTTAACGAACAGAGAAAAGAAGAAAAGTAAAAGAGAAGTAAAAAAGAAGTAATGAGGCTGTTTTGCATCTCCATCCAAGCGCCCAGCACACCTGACCCCAACTTCCTGTATGTTTGTCTTCTATCTTTTGACCTTTCTGCATCTCCAATCGCTTCCAGTTAGGTTTCAAGGACAGGCTCGCTCAGGTTGAGAGACCTATCCAAAGAATAACTACAGCAAAAAAAGGATGAGGAATACAGCACTAGTGGTACAGTACGTGCCTAGCAAGCGTAATACCCTAAGTTCAAATCCCAGTATCACCAAAAAAAAAAACACTAATGGAAGTACAGAGAGAGAATAATGGGAAAAATAGGAAAGAATATTTAAAAGCTACAGAATACAGATAAAGCACAAAGATCTATTATATGTGTAACCAAAGTCCTGGCAAAAAGAGAGGGATGGGACAAAAACAGTATTTTAAAAAGATAATAGACAATAATTTTTCCAAACTGATAATAAGTATCAAGCCACTACTTCAGGAAGCCTATGAATCCAAAGTAGCATCATCAAAGAAAACCACACTTAGGTGAATCATAGTCAAACTGTTGGAAATCAAAGAAGAAAACCTTAAGCTGGGGATAGAGGGAGCAGCCAGAAGTTTAAAAAAAGACACATTACCTTTAAAAGAGCATCACTGTCAACTGACTTATCAACAGTGATGGTGAAAGCTGAAGGCAATGGAATATCATGCCTAAAGTGCCAAAAAAACCAACCTATAATTCTATACTCATTAAAACTGCCTTCAAATAGAGGGAGTTAAGAAAAAGGAAAATGTAAAAGCAATAATGTCAACTAAAATAAAATTTCAAACACATGCTGCTTAGATAAGATTTAAATACATACTGTACCATAAGGAAATCTCAACAAATATTAAAGGATACCGAAAGCAATCTACAGATTCAATGTAATTCCCATCAAAATCCCAACATCGTTCTTCACAGAAATAGAAAAATATTCCTAAAATTCATGTGGAAACATAAAGGCCCTGCCTGAATAGCAAAATAATCCTGAGCCAAAAGAGCAATGCTGGAAGTGTCACAATATCAGACTTCAAATTATACTACAGTCATAGAAACAAAAACTGTGGTACTGGCACAAAAACAGGCATGGAGAACAACTGAACTGAAGACCAAAAATAAACTTACACAGCTACAGCCCCTCTTATTTTTGACATATAATGGAGAAAAGACACCCTCTTCAACAAACAGTGCTGGGAAAACTGGTTACCTACATGTAGGAGGTTAAAAGTAGATCCTTATCGCTCCCTTACCTTGTATAAAAATCAATTAAAATGGATCAAAGATCTTAACGTAACATCTGAAACTTGGAAAATGCTCCAGAAACATAGGGAAAACACTGGAAGGTAAAGACATAGCCATTTTTTTCTGAATAGAACTCCAAGTGTCCAGAAAATAGGAACAATAATCTTATCAAATTAAAATGCTTCTACAAATCAAAGGAAACAATTATCAGAATCAAGAAACAACTCATAGAAGGGAGAAAATCTTTGCCAGCTATTAACTGGATAAAGGATTAATGTCCAGAATATACAAAGAGCTCAAAAAAATTAAACACCAAAACAACAAATAATCCAATTAACAAGTGAGAAAATGAATTAAACTGACAGTTCTCAGAAGTAGTAGTACAAATGGCTAATAAATACAAGAAATGTTCAATTCTTAGCCATAAAGGAAATGCAAGTCAAAACCACACTAAGATTCTATCTCACACCAGTCAGAATGGCAATCAAGAAAACAAACAACAAATGTTGGTAAGGATGTGAGGGAAAAGGAACCTTCATATACCGTTGATGGGATTATAAACTGGTGCGAATGCTATGGAAATCAGTATAGAATTTCATCAAAAAACTAAAAATAGACCTATCTTATGACCCTGCTATCTCACTCTTGGGCATATATCCAAAGGAGTGTACATCAACATACAAGGCAGATACCATGTTTATCACAATGCTATTCACAAAGGCAAGCTGGGGAATCAGTACCCAATAACCAATGAATGGATAAAGAAAATGTGGAATAATATTTGCACAATGGAGTATTCAGCCATAGGAACAATGAAATTATGATGTTTGCAAGAAAATGGATGGAGGTGGAGATCATCACGTTAAGTGAAATAAACCAAGTTCAAAAAGCCAAATATCATTTTTGCTCACATGTGGAATCTAGACCTAACATGATGATAAGGGTGGTGGTGATGACGATGACGATGACAATGGGACATGAATGTAAAAGGGAGACTGAGTGGGTCAAGGGGAGCTGGGAGGGGTGAAAAGAGAGTGTAATAGGGTGTGAAGAGGATCGAATGAAGTACATTGCATATATATATGAAGAAAGCATAGTGAAATCCACAAAATACTGTTTGGAAAAGAGAGGAGGAGGGGAAGTTTGAAGGAATATAACAGAGGAAGTGAACCTGTTCAAAGTATAATGTTCACATCTAATGGAATTACACAGTGAAACCACTTTGTACTATTAATGTAGGCTAATAAAAAAATTTAAGGGTGTAACCTCTGGTTGCACTCTTCCTAGTTGATCATAATCACCCTGTTCTGCCTGTTTAACAAGCTCAAAATGAGAATCCAAGGAGCCCAAGAATGTCCCTTGAAAGCCACGGGGCTCTGGACAACACACGCAAGGCAATGCTTCTTTTGAAAAGCACTCTCACCTGAGAGACAGGGGCTGGCTGCCCTGCCGCTTGAAGGCTCTTTCCAGTCGTTCCTGTGTGGTCCTGGAATTCCCACCAGGCAAGTACAACTTCCTGATGTCCTCTGTGGGGCCATCCCCTGCTGGGCTGTCCTCTGAAAGACCCCTAGGTCTGGGCCTGTCCCACTGGGGCTGCCCTCGGCTGCTGGGAGAGGTTTTCCGCTTCTCCATAGTTGGTTCACCCCCCTGGCTCATGGAGCTCCTGGAGATGGACCTGCTGCTGGAAGCCAGGACTTCCTGTGGGCCTGGACAGGCTGGGGCACGGGTCAAGAGCTCAGGTACCTTCGGCCTTTCCTCCTGTGGGGTTTGGGTCTTGCTGTTTGAGGCCGGGGACCACCTCAGAGAGCGTTTGCAGAAAGAGTCCTAAGGGGACAAGGACAGAGGCAGTGAGGGTCCCCTCCTAGGGGAGCTAGAAAAATACTTATCCATTTGCCCACATTGGTCCTTCTGTAAGAAAGTCTGTTCCGTCTCCAACTCCTTCCCTTAACATACTACTCATTCTGGGAGGTGCCACTCTATGCCACCACTCCTATGTGAGTGCAAGTGCCACTCTCACTGATGGCCCAACTGCACAGATCCCACAGTGCCTGCAGCCTTTCTCAGACCCTTCACCACAACACTTCAGGTGGCAGAAGGAGTTGTCACTCTAGTTTCAAATCCTTGCATTCCACCTACCAGCTGGGTCACCTGTGGCAGTTTTTTAATGTCTCTGTTCCTCACTTTCTCACCTACAATAAATCCACAATCCATTTCTAAGTCACCAAACCTCAAAAAATGAGGATTTCTTTAGTAATCCTGTGGCAAACTATTTTCAATTGTTTAGAGGTTGCCTACAGCTTCTTAAACTATTAATATTCTCATGTTTAGTTGCTGAAATGTTTATAATTTTTGTTTATGGGCTTATGTGGTATGTGACTTATGCACTGTGTAAATTTTGAAATTCAAAAATAAACAAACCAGTCTACATCCAAAACACACTTGCCCCAAAGAATTTGGATGAGGCCCTCGTGTAAGGATGAGGTAAGGCACTAGGACAGAGCAGGCACATCCAGCAGTCAGCAAACCTTCACTGCCTCCTGCCCCCACTTACAGATGGTCTCAGCCGGCTCCTGGCAGTAGGCCAGGAATGGCGAAGGTCATTCTTCAATGGATGGTGGTATCCACAGAACTCCCAGCTAAGCAGCCAATACCTACCTCATAAGCATTCAAGATTTGCTTCATTTTTTAATTGAAGGAGTTCCAAAGAGGTGAGTGGAATGTCCTCTCTTCCTATCAGCAATTAACTGAGAAAATGGGCACTCTTGTCACTAATCACTAACACTAATCAATCAAAAATGTGCAGTCGGAGTGGATGGACAAAAATAAAGCCACTAGGCTTCCTTTGGCTCAGATTTCAGGACCTCTCAGCATTTCCAGAAGTAGTTCTGGGCCAAATGGTAGCCTGGATTGGAAAAAAGAAAGCTAATTTTGCAGGGTTCTGGCCTAGTGGAAATTACTAGGCACTATAAACCTACTCCAAAAGCTGCCCAGGGCATCCCCTGCACAGTATAAGGAAGACATTAGTCACCGTTCCCAAGGAGACTCAAATTTCTGTCCTAGGGGAGCCCCACCTCATAACTCATCCTTAAGTACAGAGCTGACATGGTAGCAAAAACTGATGAGATGCCTCACTAACCTTGGCTTCTTCCTCTTGCACAACAAGCAAGGGCTAAAGAACAAAACACCCTCCAGAAAATTTGGGGAAACTCCACAACAGCCCATATCCTTCAATGTCCTTCGTAGGACTGGGGTATCCTGGAGAGATATCACCTCCCAACAATTACCAATGGGAAGAGTTGGCAGCCACGCCCAGTAAGGCGGGTCCAAGTCACCTCCCTCTCCACTTTCATGAACTACACACAGAAGAATTTGAATGTCACAGCAGAAAAAGATCCAGGCATTCATCTGGCCCAGTGGGAGTCCTCAGACCCTTTTAGGGAACTCAAAACTATCTTTGTAGGAATTGCTATGGTTTTGGTATGATTTGTCCCCCAAAGGTTCATGTGCTAGAAGCCTGGCCCACAGTGTGGAGGTCCTGAGGTGGTGGAATCTTAAAGAGGTGAGACCCAGCAGAAGGTAATTAAGTCAGAGGCAGCACCCTCAGAAGGTATCAATGCAGGTCTCATGGGACTGGATTAGTTCTTCCAAGAATGAGTTATTATTAAGGGAGCCTGGCCACTCTTTTGAATCCCTGTTCCACACACACAGCCAGTCTCGCATGTGCTCCTGTCATGACCCACTTGCCACGTTGTGATGTAGCCAGAAGGTCCTCACTAGAGGCCAAGTAGATGGGGCCACCCAATCTTGGACTCTCAAACTCCAAAGTGTGAGGTAAAGAAACCTCTTTTCTTTACACATTTCCCAGGGTCAGGTATTTTGTTACAGCAAGAGAAAGCTGACTATGACCCAATTTGCCTTTTAACAGTGTTGACTTTGCATGCAAAGCAATAGTGGGGAAAACTGCTGGCCTAGAGCATGAATCAAGGTAGCAACATTAAACTTCACTGGTATTCTAGATATTCCTCATCACCATTCACTTGCAATAAAAATGCTAATTTTACTTAAATTGCCCAGGCTAAAGCATAAACATTAACTTTATTCACTTGAGACTGAACAGTACATACCTTCTCAATATTCCATGTGACAAAAGTGGGAGGTACATACATGCACTCTGCTGAGTGTAAGGGATGGAGTCAGAGCTTCTGCAACTGCCTAACCTATGAGTGAATTGCTGTTATTTTCATGGAACCACAGAAAGACAAGCCATGGTGACTCAGACTTGGGTATTTGGCAGGCATTTCTTTAAAATAAACCAAACCTGTCGTGCCAAGGGAGGCAAACGGTGCATTATTGTCAGTGGTAAATTACAAGATGCTAGGTAAAAACCAGAATTTTGGAAAATGCATCTTCCACTGTGAGCTGGAGGGCTTTGCAGTACTTAAATTTTTCTTCTGAGGAACTAGATGGTTACACCCAATGTGACTCCAACAAATGTGATACAGATAAAGACGAATGTGTCCACATTTGAAAGTACTGAATAGCTCAGCAACCAACATTTTCCAAATAACGAATGCATCATGTTGTAAATTGTGAGGGGGTAAAAGATTGAAAGTGTGAGGCAAACTGACAGAAACTGATAAAGTACAAAAAGTTGATTCATATGGTTTAAGGATATGAATTAAGAAACTATAAATTGTCTAGTTTTAAGATAGTATCAAAAAAGAATGTCCCTAGATTTCTGAAAAGGCTATTAAAATATTTTCCTTTTCCCTGCTAATCTGTGGCCAGATTTTCTTCATACATTTCAATTAAATCACCATATTGCAATAGACTGACTAAATGCAGAAGCAAAAGTGAGACCTGAATTGTCTTCTACTGAGCCAGATACTGAAGAGAGTCACGGGAAAAAAAAATACAGGGTTACTCATCTCACTCGTTTTTTGTTTTATAAAAATAGTTTTTTCATTAAAAATAAGTTGTTAAGTGTAATGAGCTTACTACTTTAAGTTTAATGATTTAGTAAGTAAACATTTTTCAATTTCTCAGTCTTAATTTCTAGTAGCAAATGTCAATAGTTACAATCCACATAAACATAAGCTCTTGGGCTCCTCAGTAATTTAAGACCATAAAGAGATTCTGAGACTCTGCCATAGTCTCAACTCTCAGTCAGATAAGCTCCCTTCTGCCATATCCCCAGCAGATGGAGTAACAAGCTTTCCCTCAACACAACTAATCTAGTTCCTTCAAAAACAGCCTACTTCACTGATGAGGTCGCCCTGACTGACAGCTTCTCATACCAACCTCTAAACGTGGGAGCCAGTTGTGCCCTGTGGAGCCCACAGGCAAGTCTACACCACTCAATCTAGCAAAGGCCAGCAAGCACACATGCTAAGTGCAAACATGACAGAGACCCCTGCTCTCAAGAGGCTTACAGGCTCAGTCCAAGTTGGCTAATTGAGTTGCATTCAGATGCTGCTCTATTCACAGACATTAACTATTCAAGATGCCCAGGATGTTCTGAAGTCACACGCAGGCTTCATAGATAAAAAAGAACACTGAGATCAACTAGTAATGTCTGCCATGGGCACAGCATCACAGACTGGCAGTCTGAAAGCCACATATTTGCCATCCTGGGACTAAGCTATTCCTACCTTCATATTTAAAGAAATCACTCACATTCTGCCAACAAGATTTCTCTTCACAACATCTCATTCACATTAAACATCTCTAATACTTAGAATTTTCTCCAAACTCTTTGCCTTCCCATCCCCTTTCTTCTGGGCATGGTCCAATTGATGAATGTCCTTCTTTAATAAGACAACTAGGATGGGACATGGCATCACACTATGACCTGAACCACACAGAGGAAGAAGACTCACACCCTTCACCTGGGCAAGATGTGTGACTAAGTACAATGAAATCCCGGATGCCCAAAGGAGTTTCCGACCACTGTCTAACAAGAGAGCACAGTCAAGAGAAATCAAAACTTTGACTAAAGATCCCACACAATCCTGGCAGAAGCAGGGAGAGGACACACATGAGTTAGGACAGTGTTGACATCTATGTCCACATCCCAGCACATGAAACTAAGTGAGATGGCAGGTGATGTGGGCGCAGACAACCTATCACAGGCTTGCTCATGCTCCCTGAGTGACTGACACTGCACTCTGAGTTTTCTGTCTGATTTTACTTTGCTTTGTTCATTGCTTTGCAAATTCCTTTCATACTTGCTCCCTCACTTGGCTTAGTCCCCACCAAATGAGATACACCATGGTCCTTCTTTAAAGGAAACCTTAAACAATGATGCTAATTTTTGAAAGAACAAATGAGACAACTGGGAGACTATAAGGAGACTATAGTAATTCCCTTTTAATTACCATGGTTTAAAAAAAAAAAAAGATGTTCTCTAGACTTGCACAGGTCCCCACTCCTGTACCGCAAAAACACAACCGGGAATACATGTCTTCATCAGATAAACCATGGCACCCATCTCACTGACAAGATGGACAAATGAATGCAGAGAGGATGATGAAGCCTGCCAAAGGACGAGGGGTCACTGTTAGCAGAGGCACACAATCTCCCCGCCCCTCCACACAGATTCCCCACTTCAGGGGCTATTCTATGAGGTCCACTACAAGAACAAGTGGTACCCCAAGCCCAGTTCCCACTGCCCTGTCTAAAAACAACAGAAAGAGCAGAAGCCCCACCTGTGGAGAGCTGGCGGTGGGTCCAGCCATCATGCCACGGACAATCAGGCCGGACTTTGGCCTGGTCTTGTCCACTGGCTTCTTTCCATCCATGGAAGGCTCCGACAAGGGAAGCTGATCCATCTTCTCCCACATGGATGCCAAAGCTGGGCTTTCACTAGGGCTGGTAGGCAAGGGCTTGCTTTTGTGCAGAGGCCTTTTAGACGATACAAAATTATCAAGCATGTCCCCATCAAGATTGTCATGTCTGCAAAAAAGGAATACTTCCATTAGAACAAGAGTCCCCAGAAGGAATTAGCAACATGATAATAAATTCCACATTCAATGGCCACTCAAAGCAAGCCCATTCATAAATATATGATGTTCCTGACAAGTTGATGTTTTGTCACAAAAGGTAAGGAACAGAAAATACTTTGGTATCAGGGTAAGTCCAGCCTACAAAATAAGACCAGCAAACAGAATCAGAGGTGGTGGTTCCATAACAGGATCCCTCAAGTGCTTATGACTGAAGAGCATCCTTGGTCTTCTAGACCAGAGTGATCAGGGAAAACCAGAACCCTGACGCTCAGTCTTGCTGCAACACCATTGAGACCAGTAGAGAAAACTCCTGACAAACTTGGCACAACCTGCTGTTGCAGTAAAGCTAGACAGGAATGCCAATGACTTCTTTTCTTTGGAACAGTGGGAAAGGCAGGGGTAGTAAGAGAAAGAGAAAGCAAAAGAAAATGGGAGGTGATGAAGGAAGGTGAGGAGTGATAAAGAACAAGACAAAGACTGAGCCCAAGAAAGAATAAGAGACCCAGGTAAAAAGAAACCTCACATGGGATTAGTCAGAAGCCAGCACTCCCCTGACAGCTTACCTGTTTCCTACCCCTGGACTCTGGCATAGATGGGTACTAAAACCTACTTTATGCCATACAGCCCACCAAGCCATGGATCACACAGCAGGGTCCAGAGGGGCAGCAGTTACGTTTACTATAATTGAGGCATGTCGAACAGAGAAAGGGTCCAGAGCTAACCTGGGACATCCGGAAGGGCCTCTAACCAAGACTGCATTGAATCAAGAGACTGAGTAGGCATGGGATCCCCCAGGAGCACCCCAGGCCTGAGCACAAAGATCTACAAAGCCGATGTGTTCGGGTGAGCAGTGGGGGCTGGTCATGGATGGGGTTTTCAAGTTATCTTAAGGAGTTTTGAGTTTTCTCCTAGTCCTTTCAGCAAGGAGCAGCCAGCCAGACTTGTTCTGTGGCAAGCTTATACTCTCAGGTCAAGGGTGGATTCATGAAGAAGTTGACCAGAGGCCTGGGGAATAGGGCAGTGCCCACAGAAATGATACAGGAAGAGAAGACTGGGGATTGAACTGACGCCCTTGCCATCAGGGCAGGAGAGGGTATCTAGTGTCATTAACAACAAAGAGCTGACAAGATGCAAAGATGCAGAAAATAAAAGGCAAGGAGGAATGAAGGAGGACACCCAGGTATAAGCCTTGAGGAACTGGGTGAGACTCGGGAGCTCCAACTGCTTCACTGCTGCATTTTCCACTGTACCAGAAATATTTGCTTTCCCAGCCAGGCAGCCAGGCAGCCAGGCAGCCAGGCAGCAGGTGCCTTTGAAGGGGGGCCACTTTCACATCACCCTCACCTGAGGCCTTGAGCTTGGGATTTGTAATGGTCTCACTCTTCATGTGACACCCATGCCCTGAGCTTAAGCCACCCTCACAAAGAAAATGCTTTGCTTCCAAGCAGAAGAAAAGGCCCACTTCTTAGAAGTTAAACCCACTGCTGGTGACAGCATGCATGCATGATGGTGGTGAATTAAACCCATTGTTGGTGACCCCATGCAGGGTAGGACAGTTGTAAATTAACATAACTGCTCTCTAGACTACAGAGGTTCAAACAAGAAAACGAAATCATCTTTTTCCTGAGAGTTCCAAAAGAACTTATCTCTCAGATTTTTTGCATTCTACGGTCTTTTATTGCCTTTTAGATTACTCTACTGCAGGCCTGTTTCCAAAAAAACCCAACAAAACAAGCCCATGAACCTTAAGAATCATAGAATGTAAAATAAACCTTTTGAATTGTAAGTATGCTCCATCACAAAGTAGTCCATTCTTGTGGCCTCTTGGCTAATAATAACCCCCAAGGATGTCCACATCCTGACCCCTGGAATCTGCGAATGTCACCTTACACAGTAAATGGGACTTTGAGGATGTAATTAAAAATCCTGAGGTGGGAAGAGTATGATAGACTATCTGGTGGGTCCACTGTAATCACAGGTGTCTTTCTTAGAAAGAGACGGGAGTACCGAAGTTAGTGGTGAAGTTAGGAGATAAAACAATTTGAGCAGAGCTTTGGGGGACGTTGCTGTAAGGTTGAAGAAGGAGCCATGAGCCAAGAAACACAGGGAGCCTCTAGAAGCTGAGAAAGGAAAGGCAGTAGATCTCCCCTCATGCCTGCAAAAGGAACTAACCCTAAGGACACCCTGCCTTTGACCTAGTGGGACTGATTCTGGACTCCTGACCTCCAGAAGAGGTACATTGCTTCAAAGCACTGATGTTTAAATTTCATATGTTGACCTGGCTAAGTTGTGATGCCTAGGTATTAAGTCAAATATCGGTCTAGATGTTTCTGGGAAGGTATTTTGTAAAGGTGATTAGCACTTACAACCAATTAACTTTAAGTAAAGCAGGTTATTTTCAATGATGTAGGTAGGCCTCACTCTATAAAAGGCCTTACAAGCAAAACCTCAGGTTTTCTGAAGAAAGAAATCTTCGTCAAGATTATAACATAGAAATCCTGTCTGACTTTTCAGCCTTCAGACCTACTCCATAATTATAATTTGCCAACCCCCAAATTGGATGATCCAACTCTTTAAAATAAATTTCTTTATATATACATATATTTGGCATACACGTACACAAATACACATACACACACACACATCCCTAGCCTATAATGTGCATTCAGTAGAAACCGTAGTTTGAATTTTGATCCTTTCTAGTGATAGGCAATTCCCTGTCCCTCTCTCAATTCTCGGTGGTGCTAGTGAGCAGCAGCTACCAGTCAGTCACATAATCATAAGAGGAAACAATTGACTCCACAGTGTGCTGTGTGGCTATACCAGGGTACTATAAAGTTCACTAAATTCAGTGCATTTTGAAGGGATCGTTTCAACTGAGGATGGGTTTGTCAGGACATCACCCCACCATAAGCCAAGGAAGGAGCCTCTGTATATGATGTTGGCTCTATTCCTCTGGAGAAGGCTTACTGATAGAGCCACTAGGTACACAATGATTTGTCACCACAGCAAACTCACATGCAGAGTAAATGGGAAAAGACAGATACCTGGCTTTGCTTGCTTCTGACAGCAATATTCTCCATCCTGCATCTTCATCTGAAAGGTCATATATATCTACCAGCTTTGTCTCTGAGCATCTCAATGGAAATCTGTTATTTTTCTTTGGAACTGAGAGGGCAGGGATTGAGGTTTCTTGAGTTAAATTGTTATCCATATTTCCAATGTAATCCAAAAAGTATCTGGTAATGAGTTCAAGATTTGTTTTTAGAGGATTTTCCTTTGCCTATCATGGAGAAAGGGAAAAAAAATCATTAATTATATGTACAGCAGGGGGGAGAAATGACCCAAGCCTTGTATGCACATATAAATAATAAAAAAAATTATATGTCCAGCCTCAAGATAAAGGTGAAAAAGATGGCTATTCTAATTCTTTGACATAAGTTTACCAACTTCTCACTCACAATACATGCTTTCAGCAAATACACACTGGTTGCATATTTTATGTGCCAGGCACTGTGTTGGGCAGAAACACAAAAATAACAAAATCTCTATCCTAAAAGAATTGGCACCCACTGCATGGATCATGCAACTCAATGAACAATTATAAAAAAATATGAAATGAACAGAGCAATGCCTAAGCAATCTCCTCTTGGATTTTTTTTCTCTTAGGAACAACTTTATAAAATATATATCCTTTCATTTTAAAAAATGTAAGTCTGAGGCAGGGCATGGTGGAATGTACCTGTAATCCCAGCTATGTAGACAGCACATGTAGAAAGACTGAGGCCTGAGGGTAGGCAAAAATGCAAGACCCTCTCTAAAAAATAACTAAGGCAAAAAAAGAGCTAGGGGTATGGCTCCAGCAAGCAGGAAATCCTAAATTCAAACTCCAGTATCACCAAAAAGAAAGTCTGTAGGACACCACCAATTCTATAGATTCCTAAGTACTTGGGGCCTGAGTATTTGATTTGAGTAAGATCAACATTTAACTTTGAACACCAGCAATTATAGAGACAACTGGAGCAGAAAATTAATATGAAAAGTATAGAGGGACAATAAGGATTGACTCAGTTTATACCTAACCCTAATTTAAAAGGTAGATGAAATTCTTCAGTAGTAGAAATAAGTGCTGTCAGTAGACCTGCCTGCACTAAATATTCTCTTTAGAAATTTTTTTTAAATACAGATTCCCATGTAAAGCAAAAAGCAAGAATCAGAGTCTTAACTTCTCCTAAAATCAACCTCAAGTAATTTGGGCAGGCACGGTTATCAAGTGGATTCACAGGCTGTCTTCAGGCACCTGGCCATATGTCAGTTCCTACCCCACTTGCCTAGAAACACCAAGGTCCTGCTGAGCTGTGGTCAATTAGAAAAGGTGGTCAATCAATCTTATTTTTTAATTGTAACTCTTTTCAAATGAAGTCTTGGCAGATTGGATTGGTATAGAGGTGTGATCAAGCTATTTCTGAAACACCCAGGGGAACCTCCAATCTATCAGAAAACCACTCAGATATGTATTACAGGCCATGGAAGACCCTAGGCCTGGTTTCTCTCAAAGAAGTGAAGCATGGAATTTCAAGACAAATCTGTAAACTTCAACCAACTGCCATCAACCCATAGGTGCTCTCTCCTTTCTAGAAATTCTTGTGCTCCCCCTTGAGGAGAAAGAGGCCATGGCAGCCAGGTGAAGTAGGACAGTTGTCCTTTGGGGCTGGGGTCACATTCAGCACCTTATCCCCTGTATGCATTCATGCATGCATTGATTTTTGCAGTCGGAGTCACAAAGCAGCTGACAAAGAATCTAGTGCACAGTAGGTCCTCCGGGCATGCTAAGTCCTTCTCCTGATATTCCTCTGATCTATGCTGCAGAGCTCTCACACCAAGACCACAGCCCATGAATGATGACAAACTTCAGCAGCCTTATCAAATAGTAAAAATCAGGGGATGATCTATTTTTCTCTTTTTTTTTTTAGTATGGGGCCAAGATAAACTTTCTGTCTGAGTCTAAATGAAACTTACAATGAAGAGAGTTGAGGGAAGGCTATTAGATAATTTATTTCAGCCTTCTTGTTTTTTTCTGTCAATAGGAGCAATATGGAGTTCGGACTGTCTGGATTACACCTTAAGGTTTTCACACCACTTGGCTCACAATAGTCATACATAACATTTATTGAATCAAGATATCGTTTTTCAAAAGCTCAATTTTACATTGTCATTTTAATCTACTGTATATCTATGGGGAAAAACAGGTTACTAGGAGTATTAACATTAAATTACAGGGCTATCCTAGAATTCTGCTAGCTTTGGACTGAAAGAATGTCAAGATTATCATGAAACAGTCTAATAAGCACATTTTTCCATAAAATATAGGCTCCAATTCATTATATCGCAGCAAATAACTACATAAATCAAGTAATCAGGTACATATCAAGGTCTAATGAAAGTATCTTGAATGGCTTAAGGTAACAGTTACCTTAGGGAAAGTGGAAACAGAAATAATTTGAGTAATTTTCTGGAAAATTAGGCAAAGGTGATTTTACATAAAAACCCAATGTACCAGAATGGTTCACTGAATTTTCTCCATAAAGATCTCACTCCCTGTGGAAAATCTCCCTAAATGTACAAGCCATCCTCCTGCCTCAGAATCCAACAACCAAAAGAGACAGAGTATCTACTGCCAGATCAGCAGTCTTCTTTCTCCAGGACTGCATGCATGAGGGGGTACAGGGAACAAGGGGCTGAATGTCACCCCAGCTCCAGAGGACAACTGTCCTACTTCACTTGGCTACCATGGCCTCTCTCTCTCTTCAAGGGGGAATGCAAGAATTTACAGCAAGTATGGTGCACCTGTGGTTTGAGGGCAGTTGGTTGAGGTCATCCCATCCTTCACCTCATAGAGGGAAACCTGGCCTAGGGTCCTCCTTGACCTATAAAATATTTATCTGAATGGTTTTCAGGTGGACTGGAGATACCACTGGGTGTTTCAGAAATAGCTTGGTCACACCTCTATACCAATGCAATCTGCCAAGACTTCATTTGAAAAGAGTTATAATTAAAAAATAAGATTAACCATCACTCTTACAATGGGATTGGGAATCAGAATTTCTATCCTGTAACTGATTGTTGAGACCTCAGACAGTCACTCTTCTCTGGTTCACAACATGGAATCCCATTACATCAGTGGCTGCAAAGCTGTTCCACTGGGCTCTGAGTGGCTGGCCCAAAAGGCCAAGAAGGCCTTCTCCTCCTCCTTCCAAAAGTGTGCTTCCCTTCTGCTTAGCATATTAGACTACTGCATGAGATATCATTTTATTGGCTTGCTTTTTAACTTCTGGTAAAATGCGGTACTACATGGTCAATCACCAAGTTCTTCCTGACTCTGACAACAGGCACAATCACAGGCAACATTTGTTGGAGCCCATTCTTTCATCAAATTAGGACTCTATCTTCCTAAGCAGAAAGAGCAACCAAGTCAGAATTGTGGCTTCATTCATTCACATATTTATTCACCCAGCCATTCACTCATTTATTCCACAAATATATATGTGTGTGAACTCCTCATTATGTCAGCAGTGTGTTAAGTATGGGGATTCAATTAATAGTAAACAAAAAAGACACAGTCTCTGGACTTTCACTATGTCCAAGGCCGTGGCAGAAGCAGACACTAAGCAATCACACAAATATACTCTGACAAATGTGACAAACAGCAAAGAATGCTACAGAGTATCATGAATGTCGAAAGAATAGGGCACACCTTCTCCACTGGAAGAATGGTGTTCCATTTGCTTTCTCAGCTCCTGTTTCTGCTGAATTATAAGTCACAGTACGCCTTAGTCCATGTATCACTCAGAACCCAGGAAAAGAATCTTATACAGACAGGGAATGGAAATTTTAAGTATTGCTGAATACTATATTCTTAAGTTCTCACTAAAATTAGCCTATATGGGAGGAGGGAACACATGAAAAACTACCAGAGGCTGGGTACAGCCATAGGCACAGGTTCAAAGTGAACATAAAGCATCCACACACACACACATAACTTGCCAATGAGCAGTGTTGGTCTGACAGAGGCTGAGAACCAGTTCACACTGGGGCGTTTGAATGCATGTTTCTCCCCACTGCAGCGGGGGCCTGGCCAAGAGTCCCCCCAAGCCTCCTGACACTGTTGGCAGGGCCATGAGTGCTTTGGCACAACCAGACTCGGTGCGAGGACTCAACACCACATCTTAAAAGCACGCACCTTGTTCTCCCTGTAGAGAAATTCGAGATGCAAAACTTTACGGAGATCGTTTCTGCTGTTTATGCTGAGATCAGAGCGTGGGCGTTCCTGGTCCATGGTCACACATGTCTTCTTTAAGCCCTGAGAGAAGAAGTCTGAATCACTGTTTACCATTTTAAATCAAAACCTTCCCTTCTATGACGCAGTGTAAACAAGAGACTGCTGATATTCACTATGCTCGTTTTTGCCTGGCCTTCCTTACAAGGAAACTGCAAGAGCGAAAAGCTATCTTAAGAATTCATTTTCAGGGATGGTGGAGGCTCAGGTAGCAGAGGACATGCCTAGCAAGCACAAGGCCCTGAGTTCAGCTCTCAGTATCACCACAAAAAAATAAGTCATTTTCATATAATCTTTAAATTTGCCATCACTTGCACAATTATTATTCCTATTCTTCCAGCAGTCTTGTGGGGTCCCCTAAGGCTGGTTCATCAGCCCATTTTATAGATAAGGAGTGAAATTCATAACAGACTCACCCAAAGCCAGCTTGTCTGCCCTTAATTTGCCCTAGATTTGGAGTCATGGGATATGAAGCTTTAAAAATGAACAAGAGAAAAAAATACAAATAAAAGGCTAATATTCATTTCTCAGATGGGAAAACCAGGAGACAGGGTTGATTTGCCCAGGGATACAGAGAGAAGTCACATGGCAGGGGCTTCTGATCACCCACCCTGTGGTAAATGTTTGCTGGGTCACCAGCAAAGCCACTGACCATCAGTCCAGTCCAATGACTGAGGTTCTTTTCTTCATTTGAAAGACAACCATAGCAGCTGCTCCCCTCTCTGGCCACCATGATACCAAATGACTGCAAGGGGAGAAGACACCTCTCTACTGCTCAGCCTGTGTTAAAGACATCTAGGTGCATTAAGGCCCCCAGTGCTAGAGAGGTGTCAACTTTTCCACCTTTTGTGCTCAGAATTAAGTACCCTAACTGCTTAGGAAAACAAGACCAAAGCTGCCTGTCATGAACTTAGGTAGGAAGGCCAATCTCGGAAACAAGAGGTAGGCACCTAGCCTTGAATAGAAGAGAGTGAAAAAGATTTTAGGGAAGGAGCACAGAAAAAGATGTGTGTGTTGGAGAAAAGGCAGACTAGATGCATTGGGGAGAGTGGATTGGCAGGAGAGGTGGCACTCAAAAGCAACCACCTGTATTTCCTCTGGGCTCATCAAAGTGATATGGAACATTCCATAATGAGGGGCCCTCTCTGATGGACATCTCTTTATATCTGTCATTAGTTCCAGTCACCAAGTCTTGGAACATTTAAGAACTCCCCCAACTATTGTGATGCATACCAGCATTTGAAAACCAAAGGGGAGGGATCCAGGAATGCCCTCAGGAACCAACCAGTCCTTGGTCCCATCCAGCCTGCTTAATCTTCATTTCTCAACAAATGTGTGCCCTGCACCCACTAAGTAGCAGGCTCTGTTCTCGTTCTTGATGCAGGAGATGCAGAAGGAAAAAGAGCTAACATCCTGTTGAGGAACAGACCATAATGAAGGGTAAATGTACAGTCTGGCAGCTGCTAATATGCATGGCATGCAAACAGGAAGCAAATGCGAAGACAGGAGCACTAGTGTAGATATTCAGCTATTTGTGGAGCATCATCCATGTGCTTAGTCTTGTCTTCTGGTTCCCCACCTATGACTTTTAGGGAGAACCACTAGTCTCCTAGTCCAGCTTCTAGAAGCAGATGAGTGAACAAATCAAAGTCCCATTCTCAAAGGGCCTACATCTTTACAGGAAAAGACAGCAAGTCTAATATGCTATGGAAATATATACATATGTTAAGGTACGGAGACAGAGAGCGAGCCAGAGAGGGTATGGGGAAGGGTTGCTATTTTAGAAAAGGTACTTATTGAGTTAGTCGAGTGGTTCAAGTGTTAGAGCACCTGCGCAGCAAGCATGAAGCCTTGAGTTCAAGCCCTAGTACCACCAAAAACAAATAAATAAAAAATATTTTTTTAAAAAGAGTGGTTATTTGACAATGGAGAGAAGTGAGGGACGAGCCGTGTAACACCTAGGGGAACAATGTTCCAAGCAAGGAACAGCAAGTGCAAAGAGCCAGTACATCTAGAATCTCATGGCCAGGGAAAAGTGGCAGATGAGGTCAAAGAGGTCACCTGGAGCCATGGAAAAGCTGTGTTGGCTTTTGTGAAGAGGGAAGGGCTACAGGACAATGTGAAAACAACAGTGTGGGTGACTAACAAATTTTTGAAGGATTGGGTGGCTGCTAGGGTGGAAATAGATGTAGAAGGCAGAAGATTAACCAGAAACCATTTAGGAGGCCACTGAACAATGCGCATGAAAGATAGTGGAGACTTGGACTGGAGTGTCTTCATTAGAAATAGCTCATTCTCTATATGCTCTGATGGTAAAGCCAACAGATTAGCTGATAGCCTGGATGGGAGGTACACAAGAGGAGACCAGCCCTTACCTATAAAGTCAGCACTAACTCTAGGTAGTGTCAGAACTGAATTGAATCATAGGACACCCAGCTAGTACACAAAGAATTAAAGAGACCTGGTTGGGTTTTTCTGGGGGGAGGAGGAGGAGTCCACACATTTTGTGCCCAAAGTGTGAATATAAACACTATCAGAGACATGTTTCCAACCAAGTGGAAGTGTAACACATGCAGGTGGAAAGGATTCAAGAATTCAGGGAGAGGTCAGCTAGAGATTAGGCATTTGGTGGTTGTCAGCATACAGATGGTACTGGAACCCATACACTGGCTAGGATGCCTCAAGAATAAGTGGAGAGGAGCAGAAGAGGGCTGCAGACTGAACCTTTAATCCCCCCAGCATGCACAGGTGAGGGAAAGGAGGGAAGACCAGCAAAGACTCCAAGAAAGGAGCCACCACAAAGACAGGAAGAAAGCCAAGAGTAGGTGGTCTACTAGAAGGCAAGAAGAAAGTAATCAATTATGACAAATACAACTGCTACATCAAGAAGGACAAGGAGTGAAAATCAGAGGTCAGTGATGGTCTTGACAAGAGCAGTCTTCTAGGTTAGGGGGACAAAAGCCTGATAGGAGTTTGAGAAAGAAGGAACAGAGTTAGAATCAGAATACACACAGCTTTCATAGGACTTTGCAAAAAGGAAGAAGGAAAGACTAGTGGCTATTTTGGCTTGGGGGTTGAGGTGGGATCCTACAGAAGCAGGCAGATGTTCTGACAGAATACTTAGCACAGAAGGGGAGATGTGCAGAGCAGGGATGTGTGAGGATGATAACTAGGGCCATGTCCTAGAGCCTGCAAGACAGGATAGGGACCCATGGTGAGACAGGCCTTTTAACTAGAGGATGGAGAATCCACTCACAGGACCATGAAGAAGGATGGAGTGAATGGTTCAGGCCCAGGAAGGTTAGAAAGTGAGAGTGGGAGCTGGTGGACATTTCTCATTCCTCATGACTGCTTCTGTTTTCTCAGTGAAATCAACTTTGGGGTTAGAGGAGAAAGAAGGTGTGGATCAGTCATCCGGCACTGGAGAGTATAAACAGGCTAGAGAGGTATAACCAGGTAGACAGGGTCCCCTAAGGCACCACAAAGTGAGTGCCCATAGATGTAATGATGCTGTCAACATGTAAGGGTTCTTCTCCAATCTCATCCAGTTCCGCAGGTACAGGCATGGAGGCAGCCAAGTAATTTTACCAGATAATGGAGTGTGGTAAGGGAAAGAAAGGCCAGGGAGTCAAGCACATACACTCTAATAAAGAGTAAGTAAGATGTGGAGAGGGGTTACAGTAGGGCTGAGGCCACTATGCAAAGTTGACAAGAACAGTAGACTGTATGTAGATGCAGAAAAAGTTCAAGAATAATTTTGAGGGGCCAAGGAGGGGGATGAGATGCAAATGAGGACAGACAGGGCACTTGGAATTGCTATGATAGAAATGGTGCAGTGCTGGTGACACTGGAAAAGGTGGCAGATGTCAGATGGGGGATGAGTCACTGCGAGAGAGGGTTCATGACCCAGGAGGCCAGGGTCCCAGAAGAGTCACCTATGTGGACCCTGATATCACCAGAAGGCTATCTTGATCTCCTAAGAGCATGCCATGCTTATTAAGATCAAAGGAACATATGTAGCTGAAGAGTTGAGGATGATGGAGGCATAAAAATCAGATAAAATGGATGGCAGGGTCATAGAGAGTCTTGTGGTCTAATGATGGTGAGAAGCCAATGGAAGGTCTAGTTTGCTTGGTTGTGTTGTTGTTTTGTTTGTTTGTTTGTGACAAGTTCTCACTATGCAAACCAGACTGACCTCAGACTCTCAGTTCTCCTGCTTCAGCCTCCAGAGTGCTGAGATTACAGACATGTACCACCACACCATGCCAGAGGAGGGTTTTGAGCATGGGAGATGACAAGATCTGGTCTGTTTATCCTGGGCAAGTTTCTTGGCCTCCTGGTCCCACAGCAGTCTTACATAAAAGAAAATAATACAAGTATACCTTGTTCAAGACTGTTAAAAAGATTTGGGGAAATGACTAGGCATCTAGAAGGTACTAGCACCAGGGTGGGAACCCTTATGGTCATGACTGCTGGGGACCTGCCTGCGCAAAGTGCTGCCAGAAGCACCAGTCTGTGTGCTCAGCAGAGACCATGAGTCCAGTTCTCACAACTTTTTCAGTGACTGGAGGCAATTCCATTATGCCCTCAGGGCCTCAGTATGTGCAAATAAAACATGGAGGCACAGGAGGCTAGGCAACTAGATGATTTCCAAGGTACTACCCAGTTCAGAGGTCAGCTCTGAAACCCTGTCAGAGAGGTGAGACAGGCAGACGTGTTAACTGTAACATGAGCACCAATGAACAAACACGTGAGCCAAGGACTGTACCTACTAGAGTCATATGAGAAGTCTGAAAGAAACAGGACTTGAGATGGGCCTTCGTAGACCAGGGACAACATGGGGGAGAATCTAGAAATGAGAGTGGAAAGGCAGGCTATAGGGAACCCATGGATGTCAGTACTCAGGAAAGGAAGGGCAGTTTTGCTCAGTGCCAAGACTTTAAAAAATGATGGTAGTGGTCAGCTTCCAGAGCGTCACTCCCATCCAACATGCTACAGAACTCAATGATGGAAGATCAAAGCAGACACAATGAGGCTAAACGCATTAAATTTTTTCAAAATAGAAGTAAATTAGAAAAGGTACACAAAGACACTTTCCAAACAGGTACAGAGAAGGGGAAGGAGGTACAAAGTTGAATACCTATGAATACATTGTATCTGTGCCACAGATTCAATGTGTGGGAGCTCCCCATCATAGTATTATTAACCACAACCATAAATCTGCAAAGGATGGGTGTTTTTCCATTTTATAGACAAGGAGACCGAGGCAGTGAGTAACGTGCCCAAGCTCCCACTGCTAGCTGAACCACTTCCATGTAACTTCAAAGTCCTTCCTTTTTGTTCCATTCAGAACACTGTGTTTGTGTATGTGTGGGGGGGAGGGGGCGGGAAGGGTTTCCATCTCAAACGAATGCCTCAGCCCCAGCCCCAGCTCAGTAAATCACATGGAAGCACAGAACCCACAGCGCACAGACCTGAGTCACTTGGTGTAGAACATCAGTGGTTGCACCCCCTTGCTCCATACCCATGACCCCCAACTCCTCCCTCACCCAAGTCCACTGCCACAGGTGAGCAAGAGCTAAGGTCCTCCTCAACTTGTAAACACTTCCCAAACTCTCCTGGGACAAGACAATAGGAGAACCTAACAAAATTCTCCTTCAAGAAGCTGGGAGTCTCACTGCTGACTAAAATGTCCGAAAGGCTTGCATGGGAAGAACTTCCATGGGCCCCGTGGCCTCTCGAGGGGAATACTTTCCAGTGGGACGCGTGGCGGGGGTGCCTGGCGGGGATGGCCGTGGGCCGCTGGAGCCCACCCCGAGGGTCGAGCCTGAGAGGCCTGGCCGGCCCACGGCGGAAGTGGCCACGCCGTCCCCTCCCGAGGGAAAAGGGGCGCTCGGCAGTCGTGCGCAGGCAGCGGGCCAGGGCTGCTCTCCACGAAGGCGCCAGGGCCCAGGCTGCCCCCCAGACTGGAGCAGCGCCTGGTTTCCAGGGACGACCCCTTACCTTCCTGCTGAGGAACTCCCTGACCAGCGAGGCGGCCACCTCCTCCACGAAGAGGTTGTCCATGCCGCCGCCCACGAGCCACGCCGGCCACAGCCGGGGCCCAGTAGTCGGTTGCGCCCAGTATGGCCGCGTTGCCGTGGCGACGGCGGCGTCGGCGCCAGTGAAAACTCCTCCCCTTCCCCCGGGCGGGAGCAGTGGGCGGAGCCTCCTGCAGACTGCACCCGGCTACCTCTGGTCTTGGCCGTGTCCCCTGTGGGTGACCCAGGACAAGAATCGCTCCAATCCCAGGCTCCCTTGCCCTACACATAAAATAGGAAATGTGTCTGTCTTCTTGTTCCTGGAGAGCTAAGCCGCAGTGAAGTGGCCCTGCAAGGCCACTTCAGCTCAGTGCTGTGCTGCTCTTGATGGCCTGGACTCTGCGTCTTGAGAGCTGAAGTTAAATGACAAGGTCCCCCTTGGAGAAGTACTGCCATGCAGTACTGGGGTTTGGACTCAAGGCCTTGCACTTGCTAGTCGGGTGTTCTACCACTTCAACCACACCTCCAAGCTGAAGACAGCAGTTCTTGGTGTGCACCAAGAACTTTGCACACAGTTCCTCATCTTTAATCCTCACAACTGTCCTGGCCAGGTGTTCAGTATCTGTTATTCTTTAAAACAAGACACTAAGATTCAGAAAGGCAAAGATTTTTCTGAACACCACCAGCTGGAAAGTGGAAACCATAGTATTCTGGTATAGCCTGTGTCTTTGCCTAGTACTGTTTTCCCCATACTCAGTCACTAGGATACGTCCTTCTTCATCTTTGTCACCTCTGCACTTCACCTGTTGTGTTAATTTACAAGGAATGACAGACTGTGTGACTTAAAGAACAAAGTTATTATCACAGCAGTCTGGAGCCTAGAAATCCAAGATGAAGGTGTTGTCAGGGTTCTTGAGTCCTCCCTCCTTGCTCATCTTCTTTCTGTGCCTTTACAAATTCTTCCCTCTATAAGGTCACCAGTCACATAGGATTAGGACCCACCAAAATAACTTCATTTTAACTCAATTACCTCTTTACCTATCTCCAAATACCATATTCTGACCTATGAGGCATTAAAAATTCAACATGAATTTTGGGGTCCCAGCTTACCTATGTTTTTCCTTTAAACTGACATATGTGTTACTAAATTTCTTTTAGAAGAAAAGTATTCTCACAAAATCAAGTGTTCAATATGTTTATTAAATCTCTAATAGCCATTAAAATGAATATAAAACCAGAAAGGAAGGTATTCACCTTAAAATCACTTCATGACCAAGACCCCATGTGCCACACTTACTGCACTTTGAGCCTCCCAGGGACATCACTGTAAGGTGGCAGACTACATTATAATCTCTGGGTGGCCTCTCTCTAACCCACCACAGCTCTCTGAGAAGACTCTCTTGAGCACTGAGTGCTGCATGAGACTGAGTATGTGGTTGGAGTGGGGAGCAGTAGAAAACACATGATCCTTGTCCAAGGGATCTGGTGTCCCAGATACAAGACACCCTAATGGGTGCATAATAATAAAAGAATAACACAAGACAGTTTATCACAGATATTAGGAGTTGTGTAATGAGTCTAAGGAAAGAGATTGTCCCCTCATAGAGGCAGATCAAGATGAAATTGGGGGAAAGAGAAAAAATTCATTCATCCATTAATAAGTGTATTGCACCTTCCCATGTGCCAGGTGTTCAGGGACTGCAGATTTAACACTGTAAAATATATGCCTTCTTAGAGGAAGAGGAAAGAGATGGGTATCAGGAGACAGACAAAAATAAATAAGAAAAACGCTAAGCAAAGTAGTTATTTTTGAAAGAGATTTTTAAAAAAAGCACAGAGGGATTATAGGAGAGCTTTTGGTGGGCAGAGGTCACATTTTTTAAAGTTCATTAGGCAAGAGTACTTAGTAATATTTCTGCAAAATTTGAAGAAGAAAGGCTATGAGAGGCTTGGAGGAAGAGCACTCCAGATAAAGGAAATAGCCAGTGCAAAGGCCCTAAGCCAGCGTGTGTGTTGTGTGTGTGTGTGTGTGTGTGTGTGTGTTGAAGCAAGAGAAGTTCAGGGATGCATGCTTCTTCCAGAACATACTGCTGGTTTCCAGGGATACAATAACCAAGTAAGATGCCAAGTAAAAAGGCCAGTCTTGTTAGCATGGGAAGGCCAAAAGCCACTCTTCCAGAAATCTAGGGAGAAACTGGATTACATCAGGTATCCCACTCATTTCCATAGGTTCCCTGAAAGTCAATTTGACTGCTCTACAGTGTGTTCCTAAGCTGGAGCACTCCTACAGGGCACTGTAAAGAAGCCCTGCTCTCTTGCCTGGTGTGAGTGTTGGTCAAGGGCCCCATTAAACAAATCTTATTTTTGAAAAGGCACACGGAAACACAACAAGATCATCAAAATAAGGGCCCAATCATTATAAATACCAATAATCATTTAAAAAGAAAAAAGCTTTTTCAGATTCCAGGGATAAACTCATAGACTCTGCTAAATAAATAAGAACTATAGCGCATTCTTGTCCAGTACCCAGAAAATACAATTTTCTTCCATGGCACACATTACTGACTCTAAACCAGATCTAACCAAGGTGGACAGTGGCCTCACAAGGCAGTTGGCGTCATTTCACTCCACTTCTCAGAAGTTCAGGGGACTGACTATATGACAAAATCTTAGCAATGGAGTTCTATGTGAAAAACTTCCCAAAGACTATAGACAACATTTTTACATCTTGTTGCAAAACTAAAAGCAACTTTAAAGGGGAATTATAATTTGCAGGAAAGATTACCTTTGGTAAAAGCTTTCAAAACCAAAAGGAAGTGAATGAAGCTGACCCTGATTTAGGAGATCAGTTTGCCATTGGAGAACACGTAAGTGAATGTTAGTAATTATTCATGTTCTGGTGTTGTTTAGGACAATTCATTTCACATTGGGCATTTGTTTTATTGTTTCTGTTGGACTCTAGTTAATAAAGATGGCCTTGCAGAACAATGACAGGATGTCAGAAACCAAAGTATATCATTAATTCTGCTGGCCCCCAAGAATCAAAAGAAAGGGAGGAAGAAAGAGAAAATCCAATGGCCACCACATTACAGGGGACATTTAGGACAATTTAGGACAATTACAATTTAGGTTTTGATGTAACAGATTCAGAGAAGAGAGTGGCATGTGTAATAAAATTCATAGGCCTCTCCTCTGTGGCTGAAATTTGGTGCACATCGTGAATCAGTTAAGTCCTGTGTTTTATGGGAGTTCTAAAGCACAGGTTTTCAGAAGCCCCTAAATTCCATCTGCGGCCCTATTTGGTTCTGGCAAGCAAAGAATGTTTTTCCAGGTATTGTTGTAAGACTGAGAACAGGAAAGTGAGACCTTTGCCACCTGAGGACAGGTGTTTGTGACAGGGTAAGGATCAAGGTGGTTTTTCTTACAGGTTTGGTCTAGAGGAGGGGACTGATTGAATGGACCCCATCCAACCAAGGGGCTCCTTGAGGGGCAAGGCAGAGTTGGGTAGTTATTCTGGGCTTGGAGGTTCCAGGAACAGAAGCATAAACTCTTGATCCCTACCATTCCCTGTCCAAGGCCAAGGGGATTGGAACATGAAAGCTGACAGTTTATGATATTGTCTGGACCAGCTTAGGTTAAAAGGGACATTTGTGAAAGTCCATGCAAGGGACTTGACCCTCAGACTTTCCCAGGTTGTCTGGCTACCATTCTCCAGAGGCCAGAAAAGGGGTCCAGCCTAAACCACTCTCCAAGGGCAAATGAAGGACCAGCTGCATTCCAGACTCTCACCACATGGCCCTCTCACACCAGCCACTCTCACAATCTTACTGCTCCTTGGCTGGCACTACAGGGCCACAACATGAAGCCTAGGATGGAGTAGGTCCCAGGCCCTACAGACCCCTACAGTATAATGGGACAGCTTTTCCACTTCCCACCTCCTCACTTCAGAAGTGATGCGGGCCAACTGTCTATACAGAGGTCTGTGCATGGGAAGCCATCCAGGCAGAGGTGAGAGGGAAGCAGAGGCATCATGGGTTTGGGGACACGTGCCAACTTTAACCAAGAGAGATGTGTATTCTTCACAGGTGATGGTAATTTCATATGTCAACTGAGTAGGCCCACAATACCCTCAGCTATTTGGGTCAAATGACAGTCTTAGATGTTCACTGTAGTTTTTTTAGGATAAGATTAACATCTCAATAGAAGGGCTCTGAGTATAGTAGATTGCCCCTCCATTATGTGGCCAGACCTCATCCAATCAGTTGAGGAGCTTCCAAAAAAAAGGACTGAGTCTTCAAAAGGAAAAAAGGCATTCTCCCTGCAGACTTCCTTCCAGACTTGAACTACAACAGAACTCTTCCCTGGGGCTCTTAGCCTGCCAAAACGCCCTGCAGATTTCAGACTTGTGCCAAGCCTCCACAGTTATTGTGAACCTATTCCTTAAAATAAATCAACAGACTCAATTGAAGAGATAGATTAGCTAGAGAGAGAGAGAGATACCAAATTGAATATATATATGTACATTAATGTATACATGTGTACATATATATTACCACCCATTGTAGGACACATACACACAACACCACACACACCACATTATTTGTTCTGGGTTTCTCTTGCCTTGCTAGACGATCCCCAAAAATGGACCTGGGAAGTTCTGAAACAGAGCTCTTGGGGTGCTTCCTAGGGTAAATATAGCTTCTTCTGGGGCAAACTTAGACTCTGAGCAGGTTGCTCCAACCCTGTGTCCACCCCCGTCCAAGTTGTGCTAGACCAGAGTTATCCCAGAGGCAATGAGGTTCCACATTGATTGTGCTTTGCAGGTTGGTTCCAGGGTGAGCTGGGACCACCAGTTTTCCTGAGGCCTCATGAAGCTGCAAAGAAACCTGTCTGGGCCAGGCATCCCCAGCCATCAACCAGGAAAGCCATCTTCTTCAATATTTCAAACACTTGCTGCAGTAAATATTAGCATTTTCTCTGTGGCCCTGACATCAAAGGTACCCTTAGGGCACACTTATTCTCACCAGTCCCTAGGCTCTCTGACCCTTAGTTCCAACAGCTCTGAAAAAAACCTGGATAACCTTGTTTG